AAGTGGTCACATACCACCTTACCATGTACTTACTTTGCTGTTAAAGCTTTAGGATATTATGCCTGTTACTTGTATATAACACCACATGTGACATGGATAGCAGTTAAATGCTTTGAAAAAATTCATGAGTTCTTTCTGATAATAGTGGGAAACCTTAATAAAAACAAAGGGAGGACTGTTATATACTGAGCTTAGTTAGCTGAATTCTTTCATCTAAGTAATTTTGCTTAGCACAAGCAAAGTGCTGAAGTTTTAGGCCACAAGCTGCAAACTTTGACCTTGAAATGCTGAATGAGTCTTCTACTATTGTTCAGCTACAATGAAAGGAGGCTCTGAGACGAGTGCAAACTAAAAGATTAAGAAGTCATGGCTATCATCCGAACCTGCAACCCATCCAGATAAAGACAGCTACAGAAAAAGAATGTGATATGAACAAGAAGACTCCAAAACAAAAACCACCATTGGAGTAAGATGTGCAGGCAAGGTGGTGAAGTGTGCAAAGAATAGGAGCATTGGTTGTAAGAACAAAGAAATACCTGGGATTTTGTACCCTAAATCCCTCTGGTGAGGCACCTAGCTTGAGCTGTACCTGTTGCAATACCATAAAATTATTAATGTTTTTTCTCCCGAAACTGGATGCCAGCTGCAGGAAGCCTAGGGTGAATAAACTTCTTTAACAACTTATACACAGGCAATTAATCTTTCTTTACAACAAAACTTCATAACTGGTATTAGTAAAAGGAAATTTATTCTCACTCAGACACTTATTTTGCTATATTTTAGAGAGTAAAACAATTAAGACTCCAAAAACAATTTCACTTTCTTTCCTTTAAATGTGTGTGATTCTAATACCAAACTTCAAACAATAGCTTCAGCTATTGCAAGCAACACACCAAAGAGACACATGGAGTTAGACTCCATCCTGTGCCATTTTGTTGTCATGCGTGCCAGTACTTGCTGAATTTCAGAATTGCCTACCATGTCTTTCCTTTAGACAATCCTTATGGCACTGTAGTTGAAAGAATGCTATCAGGATAAACTATTAAAAAATAATAAAATCACAATCAATAGAAGATAAAACTCCATAGAAAATTCCACACCATTTTAAAACCACAGCTAAAAACTCAAAAGCACAGTATTTAGGAACTATATATAAATGTTACCAGAGTCATCATATGTATATGAAAAAAGAAAACCTTTTAGAAGTATTAGCAACAAAGATTTAGAGATTTCAAAAGAACAGAGAGTATTACTGCAGGATCAACAAATTGAATTTTCCTGGACTGGTAAAGAATGCAAGCTCTGCAACTCAGCCTTTTGCATAAAGAGCTGGCAAATGCAGTTTGGTCACTGTGGTAAGAATGAACTGAGTTAACAACGAGTGGTGCAGTTACAAGAGCTGCAACACCTACAACCAGCCTTTACCCAATCCTCAGCTAATACGGTCTAAAAATCACAAAACAGTCCAGAGAAGAGAAAAAATATACCTTTAAGGTCAAAAGTATAGGTTTTGGTAGACAGTGAAATAGAAACCCATTTTCTCCATAAAAAACAAAGCTTGAAAAGTCATCTCCTTAGAGCCGTGCCATTTCATAATAAATAGTTTGGATTCTAGAGTTCAAAGTATTGCATTCTCTGACAAAGTCCTCTCAGGAGGTTTGCTTCAAATTGAAAATATCTCCAGAAATTTAGTAAAACCTGCTTTGAAAAATTCAGTGAAGAATTACATTTAAAAAAAAACAACAACAAACCTACCTTACAGAACTTTGTGACTAAATCTTCCACTCAAACACTAAAACATACCACCACAAAAAATCTCTGACTATGGTAAAACTCCTTATATTGCAAGATAGAAGCCTAGATGTGCTTTGAGTCTTTAGAAAGACCCTTTTTCACAGATTCTATATGCTTAAGAAATAATACTAGAATAAAACAAAAATCATGAAACTTAACAAGACTTTTTGTAGTCCAAACAAGCAAATACCCTAGAAACTAGATAAAACAGTCTGGAGGGGTCCAAAGTAGGATTATGAAAATGATCAGGCTGCAGAATGTCCAAAAGAAGGCTGTGAAGGTTATGAAAAAGTTGGTGAGTCTGCCTTATGAGAAAAGACTGTCCTCTTCCCAGGACAAGGCTTCATATAAGACACATCACAGTACCCCAGTATTAGAAAGGCTACAGTGATGAAGGCTCTTTTCACAAGGAGTCCCATGAAAGTGAGCGGCTACAGTAGGGACAAGCTGCACAAGAAGAGATTTCATCTGTGTTAAGAATTTCTTTCTGGTGCTACCTTATGTTGAAACAACCTTTTCAGAGTTAAACCCCCAACACAGAAGGCTTTCAAAATGCAACTCAACAAGGTGGCAGATGAGGTCTTCAAGGCTGCCTTTCCTAGGAAAGTTTGGACCAGACCATCCTTCCAACATAGCCTCTCAACCCTATTCTGTGATGATTCCAAAAACACTAGTATGAGACAGTGAATTCCATCATTTCAACTGTAATACCACTAGATTCTGATTCTGTTAGTCTGGTGGATCTAGATGCTATTTTTTGGTGTTTTAATTACTAAGAAGTAGAATGAAGTTAGGGGTAGTTATGCCCAAAATCAGGGGGGAAAAAAATCACTAAGAAAGTCTAGAAACAAAGTCTTAAGATTTGTATGTTTTTCTTTTTTTAATTAAAAGTTTAGCAATTAGTTTAACTATTTAGTAATTTTAATCAATATTATTTATTTCCCCAAACTGAGGTGCACTCTTCTAATAACCCATCTGTTTTTAGAAGCTTTATGCCAAACTGTGGGAGTGCAAGGAGGCTGGTCATTCTCAACTGTCAAGTTGATAGAGCTCTGAATCTTATATAAAATATAGAAGTTTTGAACCCTACATAACAAACCAACTCTGTATGGCACCAATAAAGAGCTGACCCACTCCCATCCAAAAAAACTCAAGATTTTTTACTCAACATGACACTTGCTTAACATTTGTAAGCTACATCATCATTTATGTATTCACCCTAACTCAGAGGGTTCTCTGCCATTCAGAGCAGACTCACTAACACAGCACATTCAAATGAGGAACACAGTCAAGACCAAGTCATGACTATCCGCACTGGTTTAGCATCTTAAGCACTGTACTTTTATAGTCCTTACTTCCTAACGAGCCCAAGACAAACACACAAAATCCCAAACAGATGCTATGTTTAAAGAAGAAAGTGTGTTTTTAAATATAGAAGAGAAATAACTCCTCCTAAAATAGATCTTAATGCCCTTTTGCTAAGGGTAGTATAGTCAGCAGTTTAAATCAGCAGGAAATTGAAACAAGGTGCACATGCCTGTTGTCTCTGTATGAGAAAAGAGATTTCTTAACAATAAATTTCTGCATTAACAAGAAATTTCTGCAACCAAGATTGCAGAGAATAGTCAAAGACAAGCCACAGAGCCACTATGTATTGCCAGGAATGGTGACAACTATGGGCAAGTGGGAGGCGAAGGATTGTCTTCACACACTACTATGGTAAGTTACTGCTAACCACCAGATCTTGTTCAAGAACTTTTTCATCAAAACTTGAGACTCTGATGTTCACTAAGCAGACTCCTTCAACTTCTGTTGACAGCCACAGTAAAGTAACTTTTAAATAAAAGAAGCTGTTATAGTCTGAGTACTGGTCTTACAAGATTAACTCACATAATAGCAGAGAAATCTCAAAAAGACTAGTTTCATATAACTGCCCATCAAGACATCGAAAACTTATCTTCCTCTACAAAGGTGCTCATTATCCAGCACATATTTAGCATTGAAGATTCTCTGCTCCACAAACTGCTAAAAATGCGTCTACTATCTGCTGTTGGGAAGCGTGTAAGACTGTAAGCCTAAGCAATAGAATTGGCAACACTGGCAACAACTTGATGGAGCAACAACCTAATTCAAAAGCCTTTTCCTAGGGCATTAATACGCACAGTACCATTACCGTGAGTTTAACAGGAGCTTTTACTACAGGAAGAAAATATCTTAATAACAGATTATGTGTTAGGCTTCATTGCTTCCTGTAGGAGAACGGGAACTTACAATTCAAGAGTGTGAAACCAGAATATTCTGTGCAAAGATTCTCAATATTTGGAAACAATCCACCAGTTCTCAGCTACTTTAGATACTGAATCCAGCAACCAGAAGCTCAATACCGGGTAAATAGTAACAATCAGACTCACTAAGACTAGCAATCAGCTCCAAATGCAAGAAGCTATAGCCCACAGAGCCTCCAGCTGCACAGAGGACTGTGAGGGACATTCTAGTACAAAACCCAACTGACTCCCTCTTTCCCCAAGCAGATGGGAAACCTACGCATCAAAATCTAGCAGATGACCACTCCTGAACACGGCTGAAGAGTTACCCCAGGAAATAAGGTTTTATAAAAAGGCCGGCTCACCAATGCAAGCTCAAGACAAAATAAGCACAGATCCCTGGAGACGACAGAACTCTGAAGACACCAATAGGCCAGAAAAACTCACAGGTACCGAGAAATCAAGCCTGGAAACTTCAGACACTGAAGAATACTGTCCAGGGTGACAAGCAAGGAAACGCAGCAACAGGACTACTAAACCACCATGAAAGCTGTAGATGCCACAGCGTAGGAATTTGTGCTCTTGCACTTTTCTCTTGGGGATATTGCTGAAGTTTTCATTTACATATTCCAAGGCCTTCTCGGCTGACAGTGCTCAGCAACATCGTGCCGTGACCCTGCCCAAGCGTCACTGCTTTCTCTGAGGGGACTTTCAGGCGCATTCACCACGAAGACCCCATCGGGAACCAGGATTTTTCAGCCCCGCCACGACAGCGCTACCCCCGCCACGCCAGGGCTGCCGAGAGGCCGGCGGAGCCCGCAGCCACCCACGCCGCGCCGCGGGGCCCGCACCGGGCACCGCAGCGCCGGGAACCGCCTTCCCAAACCGGCCGGCGGTCCGGCCCGCGCCCGCCCCCGCCCCGCCGGAGTGCTGCCCGCGTACCTGGCTGCGGCGGCGCCGCAGGGGAGCTCTCTGGCTGCCTGCGCTCCTTCTGGGTCTCCCTCTTGCCGCTGCCCGCCCAGCCGCCGGGCACGGCTCTCTTGGCGACGGCCGCCGCCTCATCGCGCTTCTTCCTCTGCTGCTGGCGGCGCTCGGCCTCGTGCAGGACATCGAACGGGTCCGACTCGTCGTCCAGGAGCTGGCAGAAGCGATTGGCGACGGAGCACCCGAAGTTCTCCTGCATGACGGCACCCACCGGGCTGCCCACCAGCCCCGTCATCATCCGCGCGGCCGCCTCGCCTCCCCGACCGCCCCCTGCGCGCACCTCGGCGGCCGCTGTCCCCCCCCCAAGGAGTCTGCCGCCGCTGCGCGGGGCCGAAGCAGGGCACACGCCGGGCGTGAGCAGCAGCAGCGGAGGCGGCAGCCCGGCCCACGCGCCGCCCCAGCGCCCGCGACCCGCCGTACCTTCCGCAGCCCCGCCCCGGCCGGACCGCAGCAGCCAATGGAGCCCCACAGCACACCCACCACAGCCGCCGTCCCCGCCGCCGTCCCCGCCGCCTTTAAGCACGGCCGGGCCCGCCCACCGCCTGCACGCGCGACCGGAGAGTAACAGAGCAGCCAATCCCGGCGCCAGGCTCCGCCCCGCCCCCGGTGCCCATCTGCGGCCAATTACCGTGCAGGATCAGAACTGTCAATTACGCCCGTTAACCAATGCGGTGCTCAGCTCTCTTATTCTTCAGGCGTGGGCCCCGCCAGCCCGGCAGCGGTACAGCCTTGCCCCGTGTGGGGACGGTCTCCGGCGGCAGCGCTTCGAAGGTGGCGCCGTCACACAACGGTGTCGCCGCGGGTCTTTGGGTACAACCTACATCCTGCAACAAGTGACACTGTGAAAAACGCCAATCACTTGGTTTTTTTAAATTTTAAAAGTTTAATAGGAATAAAATGGTTATAAAAATAGTAATACAATTAGAGTAATCATAATTTGGACAATTTGAATTAGGACAATATGAGACAATAGAAACAAGGAGTTACGGACGTCCCGGTACCTTTTTCTGGGCAGCATAAACCCGGTAAAGGACACCTGTTAACAGAGGATTAACGTTTAAAAACAATAGCCTGTTGCATATTCATACACCTCATACATGACGCATAAATTCCATTCACATACAGGATTCTCTCGGGGTCATCGTCAGCTTCTTCCTCTGAATCTTAACGGCGCCTTCAAGCCTGAGCAAGGAGGGAAGAAGTTAGTTTATTTTGATAAAAGGGCAATAAATTCTTTGTTTCTGAAAGATTTAGGTGTCCTGCGGTGCTATCTTGCTGCGAGTCCTTTCTTTTAAAAAAGCACCTTACTTAGCATAGTTTCATATTTTTACATTTTGTTATAACCTAAAACTATATTTAGCACACTGCTTAAGAGAATTAATACAGCGTAACTTTCTAACACAACACATATAATATCCATTTCGATATTTGCGAAAAGCCAATCACAAAACACGCATTTTCCGCAGCACCAAGGGAAGAGGCGCCCTCACACGGGGCGTTCCCCGGGGTGGCTCTGCGGTAGGCACGCCGGGATGAGGCGGCGAGCGCGGCGTCAGCGCGGGCTGTCCGAACGGAGCGGCGCGGCCTGTGCCGGCAGCGAGCCCCTCAGCGGCACCGCCACCGCCCGCCCGCAGCGGCACCGGCATCCCCGGCCCGCCCGCAGCGCGGCACTCACAGCTAGGCTCGGCTCCGGGCAGCCACAGCCAGGACGGGGCTCCCCGGCCGCTGCCGAGCCCCCGCGGTGACAGATTGTGGTGCAGCCACGCACCTGTAGAGGCCTACACGCCTGTAGAGGCCTTAGCTGGACCCAGCTGCGAGTGCTTTTGCTGTCTCAATAATGCCAGGAAACTCATCAAGGCTTTTTTCCACAGGGGACGGGCACCTGGGAGAACAAAATATCAGTGCCTCTTTTATCAGCCACAGTAAAAACAAAATCTTAGCCCTTCAGCCACAATTGCCCAAAGAATGGTGATTGCAGTCTTGATTTCTGTGATGAGGCTGTCTTTATTCCATGAAACTAACGCTTCCTCTGTCATGATAACTTCACTGCATATACCACCTGCTTTTTGAAATTAATTTTATCCTTATTACAGTAATTTGAAACAGTATCAGAAATCATGCTGTTTCAAAAGGCAGGATTAAAGACAGCCCTGTTCTCTCTTCATTTTGGAATGCTGATAAGCCTGTGGAAAACACTGTAAAGCAAAATGATGTGTATCCTTTACAGATTATTCCAAGCCTTTAACATAGTCATTTCATCTCTCCTGGCTGTCATGTAGACCCACTTTTGCATGATCAGGGCATGCAGAATTAGAAAACTAATTTAATTTGGCTTAGTGCCCTTTCCAGTTTAAATTTCATTCAAGAGAACACAAACTGTTTTGCATGGAATTAATGACAGAAACTTCAGGCAATTATCTGCTTGCAAAAGAGCTTTACAAAATCCTGCTTGTTGAGTCAAATCTCTCAGGCTCTGAAATACTTGAAATTAAAAGCTGAAAAATATAAGTCAACAAAAGAAAAATATAATTATTTCTGCACAGTTCTTATGTTGTAGAATGTAGCTAGCCATAATTAACAAAAGTTCATGATGAAATTTTCAATAATATGAAAAAGGAATAAAATACTTTATAAGAAATGTTCGCTTAGATCAACTGTCCTTTCCTTTGAATTGTTGGTTTATTTTGTCGGAAGATGAAACCTCATGTGTTTTCAGTGTGAAGAAGGAACTGGAAAGGAAGGTTGTCCTAATCTGGTTGTACTAATCTGGAGAAAGACATTAACAACATCACATTACTACAGCACATCAAAAATCTTGCCAAATATTTGCAGATCTTTTTGGAGCCTTTTGGTATCAATTGCAGCATCTAGACTAGATTTCCTCAGCACACATTGTATCCAGAATTTTTTTTAGAAATTTTAGAAATCTTTTTATTTCAATATTCTACAAGTTTGAATGAAGGTTATGCTGTATATGAAAAATGACAGACTATCATTGGTCAGTGCCATCACTGACTGTAATGTCCTTACAGCTTTAATAGGTACTTTGAAGGTCACAGTATCTTTGGAGAGGGATGAATATGAGAAATTCAGATATATTTCAGCAGTAAGATTAGAGATTTGGGGCTCCGTGGGATTTGCTTATTTTTTCGTGAAGCCTCAAAAGAAAAAAAAAATCTGACTGCTCAGAGAGATTCCGCAATGACAGCCAAAACCAGTGTTTGCTACAAATATATCTTGTCTTTATCTGTACAATTCTGTTTCCTAAAATTAATGCAAAGATTTAGAAAATCCTTAGTTTTCTGATGCTCTGCACTGTCAATCAAAACAAAATTTCTGTAAGAGATTCCAACCTCCAAACTGATTAAAAGTCTTGCATGACAAATGAAATTAATTTGCAATCTCTTTTTTGCTTGCAGCTGTCAGGAAAATTAATCCAAAATGCCAGAGGTTTTTATGGCCAAAAAAGAGACAGAATGGAGTCCCATAAAAAGAGTGGAGTCCCATGGCTTTATTAATGAATAAACTAAGAGGTCATGGGGAAATTTCCCATGGGATCTCTCAAATTGCTGGGGGATGCATCCTCCTTTTTATCCTAATTTCTCAGTCCTGTTTCCTTCTCTCTTTTCCCATTGTTTTAGGTCCTTGAGAAGTAGAGACTTCCCAAATCACCTAATACAGACCCTCTTCCAATGTGCATCCTCCCCCACTTGCCTTTTCTTTGTGTCTCTTGTTATTTTTCTCTAACTCCAGGAATTTAGTGCAGCCTTGAGTGAGTAACAGTCTGTGTCAATTAGTGGAATTCCTCTGGAATTTATGGTTCCTATTGCTTCTTTCTCCTATCAGTGTCTAGCTCTATCTACCAGCAGGCCCACAGTTTGTTTGAAAAAACACCTCCCTCTCATTCCTTTCACAGCTTTTCACTATGTGCAATCAGTGTGTGACTGGCGAGTTACATACTTACACAAACAATGGAGACAGACAAGGAAAACTTGAATATTACATTTTAATAATGCTCTGTCTGGAATTTTATACCAAAAAGTAATAGCAATGGCTTTGGCATGATTACATATTTGCATGCAAAGCCTGAGTCTTCTAGTTGTAATACAAGGCACAGGTGCCTAACCTTTCTGACAACAGGTAACTCTTGTTAAGTGAAGAGGAGGGCTGCCTGCCTAATTGGCTGTCCCGTCCGCATTCTCTCCACAAGTGGATTTTTCACACGCACAGAACAGCACCCTATGCAAGGTTGCCTAGCAGGTGTAGATATGGAATATGGCATCTTTACCAAAACAGCCTTTGCTTATTTTTTTCTTCTTTTTTTTTTTTTTTTTGTTTGTTTGTTTGTTTAAGGTGCAAAAGTGCCTAATTACAAAAGACAGAATTGAGAATGCTGACTGGTGTTTCTCTGTGTTTGCAGCTAAGTACCTAATCAGCAGCAAGGGTCAACCTGTCCTTGACCTTTCGTACAGACACTTTCTCATCCCTGGACATTTCATTGTCTATGCCCACATCTCTCCTGCCTGAGGGAGACACATCCTGAACACATCACATGGCTCAAGGTGCCGTTCTAGGGCAGGGTAGAGAGGGTAACACTGTGTCACTTAGAGGATCTAGCTATCTCATACATTTTCCAGCAACACAATTCTACCAAGCAAAATTGACTACATGAAGTCTTTAGCCAAAAAGAGAGCTGCATCACCGAAGATGGACATGCTTATAGAGGAGTACCCTAATGCTGACAGCTTTCTGTGCAAGCTGGACATTGTGCCCTGGCTGGCAACAAATGGTTGGAGCCCCATCAAATGAGCCAGGGACAGGCACTGACCTTCTGCTGACAAAGGGGACCTTGGTGCTAGCTGCAAGGGGTGGGGGTGCCCAGTCACCTAGAGCCTCTGCAGAACCCAGTGAACAAGAAGAGGACCTCAGCCAAAATATCACCACTGGACCAAGAGGCAAGTGCAAGGGGCATGAAGGGTGGGCACATAGATTGTAAGGGTGTAAAAGCTCAGGAATTCCATAGAAACAGAATATTTCTATGTGCTGCTACTGAGTTGCCCCATTAGGATCAAAATACTTCCAGGAACCCAGCATCTGGGACACTGCTATGGGAAATGTGGGGTCAAGGTGGCAAAGGAAGCTTGTCTGGCAGTGTGAGTATGGTGAGTGTAGGGATTCAAACAGGGCACCTGTCAGGTGACTGGAGCCACCCTCTGCAAAGGGATCTCAGTCCCAGCAGTGAAAGTCTCACGAGTTGGGAATGTGATTCCTAGAGTGGAATCTGAATGCTCAGACAGGAAATCTTGAAACTTTAAAAATATAATAACAAAGACTTGGATAAAAGATATTATTACCATATATTTTCCTGCTTTCTCTTGAATCCTTGCTCCCTATCCTTTTACAATTCCAGTCTTATGTCACGTGTGATAAAAGGTGTGCTTTGTTGTAATAAGCGGGATTTGATCTGACTGTATCATGTTTCCTTATTTTGGTCCTTCAACTCGCATAGAGAAATTTTCTTGTTTCTACACTAAAATATTAATGCTTTAATGCATTGAATTGGGTTTGCAAGGGCAAGCTTTGCAGGGGGGAGGGCTACAGAGATGGCTTCTGTGAGAAGCTGCTGGAAGTTTCCTCCATGTCCAGCAGAGCCAATCCCTGGTGGCTCCAATACAGACGCGTCACTGGCCTAGGCTGGGCCAGTCAGAAACAGTGATAACACTGCTGTGATAACAGATTTCAGATGAAAAGAAAAAAGAAATTGCACATATGTAGTTGCAGTCAGAGAA